CCACTGCACTCCAGTCTGGGTGACAGAGTGAGACTCCAACTAAAAAAAAAAAGTATTACAAGCAACACCATATAAAACCAGCGGATACATACCACATCTTCCATGCCCCACCCCCAAGAGCCCTGCTAAGTTCTCAGGGAAGCTAGACGCGGGGAGGTGGAGGTTGGAACTGTAGAACCCAGTACCTCTGTTCTTAAAACCTCCCTCTGCCCAATGCCATTAGCTCCTACATGGCTTCCTTGGTGCTTCATCACTCTTCTGTGGCAGCAACTACCCGTATGCAAGCCCAGCAGGAGCAATATTGCTACCAGAAAGCTGGCTGCCACAGCAAATGCTGCCCTGCCAGCACAGCAGCGTGGGGGCGGTGAGGACACAGTGATGAATATCGGCAAGGAGCTGATGAAACGACTGTGGCAGCTGCCAGGGTTTGCCATCCACCTTGCCACAATGCAGAATGCAAACAGCCTACTCCTGAGAACAGTCTCAAGTGCCAGCATGGTTGGTCCAGCCAAGGACGGCTGAGGCTGGGAAGGAGAAGTGGAAGGAGAGTAGGCCCAGGCTCTGGGGTCAATGGCATAGTACAAGTTAGCTAGATGACATGTGACAAGTTACCTAACCTCTCTGAGCCTCAATATTTTCATTTGAAAATAAAGATAATAATAGTTCCTTTTTTTTTTTCTGAGTTGGAGTCACTCTGTCCCCCAGGCTGGAGTGCAGTAGCATGCTCACGGCCATTGCAGCCCTGACCTGCTGGGCTCAGGCGATCCTTCTACCTCAGCCTTCTAAGTAGCTGGAACTATAGGCACGTGCCACCAAGCCTAGCTATTTTTTTTTTAATTGTAGAGACGAAGCCTCACTTTGTTGCCCAGGCTGGTCTTAAACCCCTGGGCTCAGGCAATCCTCTCGCCTCAGCCTCCCAAAGTGCTGGGATTACAGGCTTGAGTCACCGCGCCCAGCCCAATAGTTCCTATTATTGTGAAGACTGGACAAAATTATGCACATGAAGCACCTAGCACAGTACCTGACTATGGTAAACACTCCACAATCACTGGCCACTTTCATTGTTATTTTAAGCCCTGGGCCCAGACTCATGAAAGGGCTAGAAAGTTGTTCCTTCTGAGGATGCCGCATTTAGAAACCAGGCCAGGACCAGCCCCTGTTTCTTGGAACAGGTTCCTTTAACAACAGTATACTCCTGCCCCGCACCAGGGCTCAGGACTCTCCCGTGAACAATATTTCAGCAGCACTAAGCCGAGCAGCAGAGCCCAAAATAGCATTTGCAGAGCGAGGCACATGTCACTGCATTTTCTGTGCTTCAGAAGTACAAGGAAAGAAAGTTTTCAATCACTTGCTCAGAAAGCACGGCCACCCACCACCTGCCTTCCTTCCAGGGCACTGAGCTCTGCAAACTCTGTTCTGCTAGAAATGAAGGTCCCTGAGCCCTGCAGCAGCAGCTACCACCAACAGGCCACACTGTTGCCTCCACAGGCCAGACAGCGGCTGCTTCTTCAAAGCAGCCCTCTGGGGACAAAGGACATACACAGCTGGAATTCAGAGTGTTTCATGGGCACAGGGCTGGGCCTGGTACCTGGCTGAAGGGCCTGCCACTCATGGGTCGGGTGAAACACCTCCAGGATCTCAGTGTCCAGCTCTTCCTCTGCTTTGGTTTCTTTTCCCTCTGTTTCTTTGGTACTGCTCTTCTCTGGGTTGGTCAGCGCAAACTCCTTCTGAGAAAAGAAAACACAGGGTGTGACCTACCACAACTAATCACCAGGCAAACAGAAAGAAAATGGCTTGAGGTGGCACACTCTTTTCCTCCATGCCCTTCTTTCCTTTCCCCAGACACGTCTGGACACCTGCAATTGTGACCAAGGTCAACCTCATGTGAACAAGGTCAAGAACCAGCATGTGTGAGATGATATAGCTAAATGAACACAACATGGTGTCATGTGTATATGGTGCTTTTGAAAATGCATAAGGAACAACTCCAGAAGATTCCATATGATCTTGAGGGGGTTAAAGAAACATACTAGGGTTTGTCAAAAGAAAACAGTAAGAATCTTTTACTTTTTATCTGACATGCTACTATATACTGTTTGATGTTTAAAACACATATATACTTTTACAATTAAAAAAAGGATATTTATAAAAGAAAAAACACATACATAAATGGGAGAGTAAGGCCTCAAATGGCCACCCTAGATGTACAAAAGTTGGCAGCTAAGGCCCAAATGATTCCCAAGCAGCACAGCAGAGCAGTATACAGGCCCTGGCAATTCTTTGGGATGGCTATGGAGCATCAATGACCTCTTGGGACATGTCAAACCATGGAGGAAGGGGTGCGAGTGGGAAGGTAGGAGTCCAGCTGGCCTGAGGGAAGGAGATGTCCAGGTTGAAAACCACTTTCCAAAACCTGTTTCCTTCTACCCCGTGGAGAACATGGAGGATTAATGAGATGGTGTCTGCAGAGGATGCAGCCCGGGAGACAGTGATATAAGAAAAATACAAAGTATTATTAATTTTGCTTCTTCCTAGACTCCCATCCTTCCTATTGCATTTTTAAACCTGTTCTTGCATAAAAGCAATAAGACCTCAGGAAACTAGAACCAGAGGGTTCCAGAGCTCTAGAAAGTTACATTTGGGAGAGTAAGGAGGAAGCCACACTAGTACACGGGGAGGTTACTTCAGCCCTCCCACCTGTCCTGTCATCACTTTTCCTCCACTTCCCAATTCCTCCCTAGTAGTAAGAAGTGTATTTTTTGGGGGGGGGGGTGCATAACAAGGCCACCTCTGCTTGCTTCCTCTTTTCTCTCTTTTTTTTTTTTAATTTTTATTTTAAAGATGTGAGGTAGCGCCAGGCTCGGTGGCTCAGCCTGTAATCCCGCGCCTTTGGGAGGCTGAGGTGAGTGGATTGCCTGAGCCAGTGGGTTCAAGACCCGCCTGGGCAGCGAGACCTCATCTCCACAATAAATCAAAAAATCAGCCGGCGTGATAGCGCATGCCTATAATTCCAGCTACTTGGAAGGCTGAGGCGGAAGGATTGCCAGAGCCCAGCAGGTGGAGGCTGCGGTGGCCAGGAGCGGCCACTGCACTTCAGTCTGGGTGACAGAGTGAGACTCCAACTCAAAAAAAAAAAAAGATGTGAGGTACAATTCAGGGTTAGGTATACAAATTATCATTATGCAGGTACCCTTGTTGATGAGGTGGGTCCCCTCATCTCCCGCAGATTCCCACTACTGCCAAGTAAGAAGTATATTTCATGGATTCCTCCTGTAAGCACAAACCTGTGCTAGGTATTATACACAGGTCTCATTTTGGTCTCCCAACAATTTCAACCCTGCCTGGCAGATGTTACATGCATGCATCTCTTCAAGTAGTCCAGATAGGAACTCCAACTTGTCTGGGTCCCTCTGAGTCTGATCTTTAATTAGCTGTCAGAGGAAAGGTTAAGCTATTAAGGTATTGGTGATGACAATGTGTAGAGCCCTCCAAGAATTTTTTCATTTTAGCAAGAAATAAAGGTATGAAATTTAGATGGCAGAATTTCAGACTTTGTGAAGGACCAGTAAGAAAAATAACTTGGGCAAAAAGAGGCCCTCAAATCATGTGACAAGTAAAGAGAGGCACTGACTCCAGCAGAGTGGTTAAGAACTCAGGTTCTGCATCAGATAACCCTAAGTTCAAATCCCAGTTGCTTGGGGCTCTGGGAAAGCTACTTAACTTTCCAAACCTCAGCTTCCACATTTTTAAAACAGAAATAAACCAGGTATGGCGGCTCACACTTGTAATCCCAGCACTTTGGGAGATGGAGGCAAGAGGACTGCTTGAGTCCAGGGGTTTGAGACCAGCCTGGGCAATGTGGTGAGACTTCGTCTCTACAATAAGTAAAAAAAATTAGCCGGGCATGGTGATGCACGCCTGTGGTTCCAGCTATTTGGAAGGCTGAGGCAGAAGGATCACCTGAGCCCAGCAGGTCAAGGCTGCAGTGACCATGAGCATGCCACTATACTCCAGCCTGGGTGACAGAGTGAGACTACTACTCAAAATAAAATAAAACAAAAAAGTAAAATAAAATAAAATAGAAATAATAACATCTAGTTCATATATCAGAAGAGGTACTACATTGTAAACCACTAGCCCTACAAGCATGGTAGCTGTTACTGTTATTACTTATAAAGGGAGTCATAAGTTCCAGGTCAGATGAGCCTGTGCAATGACATCCAGGAGTGACTACACAGTATTACATCATTCAGGCAGGTCAGCTTGGGGTGGTGGTCACCTGCACAGCCTGGCACCTCAAACCCCTCCTATCCCTTCAACTTGAAGTTTGCAACATCTGAGCTCAAAGGAAAACTAAGAACAGAGGCATAGGTGTGCTTATGAGACTAAAGAAAAGACAGACTGGCAGGAGGCATCCTCCATTCTGAGGACACGAACATCAAGGACTTCCAACAGCTGAGTTTCCTGAGGGCAGGCACTGTGTCAGTCTCTTTCATCACCATATCCCCCATGCCTACCGCAGGGCTTAGTTTGAAACTACTGAACAAACGGTTGAATGAACACTCCCTCCCAAAGGCAGGTACACCTTTTGGGTGCCTTAGACTGAGACAAGCCCAAAGTGGCTGAGTCTGCTGGAAGCAGGTACTAGCCTCACATTCCAGAACAAAGGCCACCTTGACTGCCAAGTATCTAGCACCTATATATTCTAGGGCCCAGTCATGCTGGTCAGTCCCAACCAGGAGCACTAAACCAGGCATGTCCAACCCTAGCATGTGGCCCAAAACAGCTAGTAATGTGGCACCAGAAAATCTTTTAACATCATGTGGCTTTTTTAGCGTTTATTTTCTTCATGACCCCATGCAGAGTTCCATTTTTGAAGCTTACAATCACACCTTATTCGTGGTAATGCTTTTTGGCAACACATACATTTGTGAGCAGCTGTTTTCAGTTATAAAGCACACAAAGAGCAAAATTTGAACAAACACTTCTGATGAGTACCTTGAGAACTCACTAAAAATTGCAACCACTTCCAAAAACCAGACATTGATAGATTAGTTTTACAAAAACAAGGTCAAATTAGGTCCCCCTAGTTTTATATTGTTCTCATTTTTCTAAACTTTACAATAAAAAAAATTTTTAAAGAAGTCATATTATGTACACATACTGTTATTTAAGTGCAGCCCAAGACAATTCCTGTTTACTCAAAGCAATCCAGGGAAGCCAAAAGGTTACTCAGTGTAGCCCATGGAAGCCAAAAGGCTAGACACCCCTGCACTAGACTATGGGACTTGTCCATCGAATGCCTCCAGGAGCCAGGCAGGGGTGGATGTGAATGAGTGAAGTGGGCCAGGTGTAAACAACAGGGCATAGTGGGACTGTGGAACTGAGCCCTCCTGCCTCAACTATGGAAAGCAGCTGCTACTCAGGTGGTCCACCACTGCCACACAGCCACTTAAAGAGACCAGCCGGGCTCGGTGGCTCAGCCTGTAATCCCACGCCTTTGGGAGGCTGAGGTGAGTGGATTGCCTGAGCCCGCAGGTTCGAGACCCGCCTGGGCAGCGAGACCTCATCTCTACAATAAATCAAAAAATCAGCCGGGCGTGGTAGCGCATGCCTGTAATTCTGGCTACTTGGAAGGCTGTGGAGGAAGGATCGCCGGAGCCCAGCAGGTCAAGGCTGCGGTGGCTGGGAGCGGCCACTGCACTCCAGTCTGGGTGACAGAGTGAGACTCCAACTCAAAAAAAAAAAAAAAAAAGAAAAAAACCTAAAGAGAAAACAGAAAGCCAGAATTTTATGTGCAATGTTCTTAATTCTAGAACATTAAGAGGACCAAACTAAACATATCTAAGCATCAAATTGCAACCCTCACTTTAATGTACCTATTAGCCAGGTGACTCCTGGTAGGTGTGGCTCTCAGCAAGCAAGCAAATTCTTACTATCAAGAGAAGCAGAAGAGGTAAAGAAAATGGTGATGATGAGAAGATGGCAGGAAGTCATCAAAATCCAAGAAGGGTTTAGTGTTAATTCTAACTACTCGTGGCTGGGAAAGACTCTTTTTCTAGATTTCATTAACAAGATTAACTGAGAAAAAGGGTCATAACAAAACTGATGAACCACTGAGCCACGTGCTTCAAGCCCTAAGAGGTCCAAACACTTTTGCAACAATCCTGTCACTGCTCAAAATGGTTTTTGCTCCTCCTCCTGGTATCATCTTTGAACCTGATTTTAAGACACAAACACAGTCGGTCATTATTTTATAGTACATCTTAGTTTTTAGTCAAGGGTGATATAAAATTGGTGCCCCCCGTCTGATCAGCTCACTCTGTTCGTCAGATGTGGATCTGAGAGACATTAGATGCTTTGCCCAAATCATACTGGTTATACTCAAAGGCCAAGGGCTCAGAAACACTGAGAGAGGTTCAGTGATGTGAACATACCACAGGCTGGAAAGAGAATTCAAACAGAGAGCTTCCAGAAAAGATTTTGAGGAAAAGCAGCAACACAAGGATGAGGTTCTAATAACAGTAGCAGCTACCACTTATTAAGCCCTGATCATATGCCAAGCACTGGACTAAGGTACCTTCCACGCCTCAATTCATCCGAGTCTCTCTGTGAAGCACATTTTATGATTCCCATTTTATAAACAGAAAGATAGATTCTGTTCAAAATCATACTGCTCAGAAAAACAAAGCAGAGATTTAAGTCCAGACCTGCCTGGCTGCAAAGCCCATGCATAAATTCTGACTCACTTCTATGATTCTTTCTTGGTCAGGTGTCCAAATGGCTGTGTCCCGAGAGCTAAGGGAATGAAGCTAGAGCAATGAGATCAGCTTGGCATATCTACCAGCACATCCCCTTCCTTGGCAAAGTCTTCCATGGGTCAGGCAAGAAACTACAGTCCCAGAGAAAGGACAAGCAAAACCCTCACCCTCACTGTGCTTAGGCAGTGTCCTGAACAAGAAGGACCATGAGGTGAAAGGCAGACTATCCCTTGGTCAGCTGTTACATAAATCCCATGCTCTGTGCCTTCCCAGCTGGTTCCTGGGGCTCCCTTCCATACTGGATCCCTAGCACTCTCTTCTCCCTACCACCATCACGCCAAATACCAATTTTCTCTCAACTGACTGCCAAGAAATCCTAGCTAAGGTGTTAGCTGACAACAGCTCACCATGTCACACTTTCTTATACTTGTATCTGAATAAGAGAGTCTTAAAAACCAAAGTCTTCAAGATCCAAGAGAATGAATGAATCTCTAATGGTGGGCTGACAGACACTGACAGAGACAGACTGCCAGGGCAACATTTTGGGACAAAAGCCTGCCTGACACAGCCCCAGATTAAACTACAGAAACAGCACCCTCCTACAGATGACATTTATTGACCATTTAGTGGCCATACTGTGCCAGTGTCAATGTTACATGCTTTCTATATATAATCACATTTAATCGACACTAAAACTTTAAGAGAGAAATACCAACCTTGCTTTACAGATAAGGAAACAAAGCTCAGAAAGGATCAAATTACCAAAAGGGAGTTCACAGGGGCCTCCTTCCCCTGGACCCCGCCACTGTACCTCCCTTGCTGCTCGCCACCTTTCACAAGGCCAGCACCCAACAACCACAGTCCTTCCACATCTACACTCTTCCTGAAATATGGAACCCCAGTAAGTGCCACTGCAGAAGCAGGAGAGGGAGGCTGGCTCCAGATCATACTCTGATACACACAGCCAGCTTTTCCTAGGTGGGCATTTATCTGCCCAAACGCCTTTGAAGAGGACAATTCCAGATCATCAGGAACACTTAACTGGACTGCAGGCTCTGAAGAAAGGATCATAACCACCCCCACCCCCCACCCCATTTTCACTGTCGTGAAGGTATCTGGCTGTATAATTTGGATTTTAAATGACATCAGGGCAGCAATTTTTATGGTATGAGAAAAAAGATGCTTCAACTCCTACTTGTGCTTAGTACATGACAAAAGATTATGACAAATGGATACAGCTTAGGAACAGACATAAGGATAAAAGCAGCTTCTGTTGATGAAAGTCAGTATTAACATTTTTCTGAGGCTAGACTCAATAGAGCTAATATAAATGGGCCAGAATAATTACGGCTCTGAAAGCTCATCTATTTGGTTGAACTATTATCCAAAAGGGACTTACTAACACACGGTCCTTAAGTAAATTCATCAGCATGCTTTTGTTAATTGTGCATCTGCTAAAGCCCACGATGGGGAGCACAGGATCCTCAAACGGATCTTCATGCTCTACACGCTGGAGAGGGGCACAGCCCTGATTCCTCAAGACTCTGGGGTGCTTTTCTGGGTCATTCCCTCACCAAGTCATGCCAGAGACAGCCCCAACTTCATGCTACAGCCAGTCTCACTCTCAGGGGCCCCTGATCCCACTCTCATTGTCCTTGAAGAAGAGGCCAAGAAACAGCACTCACAGGATCTTAGAGAATATTAAAAGCTCAAATGGACGCGTGACTCCTAACTGTGTGTTTTCTCCTGCCCCACAAAGTGGGGAGAAAGGCAGAGAGAAAATAAATGACTTCAGAGAGAAGGTGGAAGCTTGCCATGAGCCAGAGGTGAACCCTGGCTGAGCTGGATTGTTATTAAATTCATCACAATTGTCATTTGCACTTCAAGGGCCTCCTGCTCCAAGGCCTCCAGCGCTTTACCCAACATTTAGTGGGAGCCCTGGGGTTTGGGGAAGGTGGCCAGGGGAGGGTGAAAATTGTCAGAGAGTTGACAGTCAGGGCTTCTCAAGGGTGGGAAAGGGAGGTCACCGGGAGCCGGTCAAGGGCAAGCTGTTACTGGGACAAGCAGCGGAAACAGGGCCAGGAACCTCGCTCCGCATGCTGCAGCCAGGCCAACCTCAGGTCCTTTGGGGCATTCTCCTTCTGCCTGTGGCAGTGCCAGAAGCCCTGAGCAATGAGGCTGGGTTAGTGAAGAGAGAATTGAAAAGAACAGGGAGAAAAGAACAGAGGGAAAGAGAATACAGAGATAGAGACAGACTGAGAAAGCACAAGGAAGAGAGTAGAGGAAGAAGCAGAGTCTTACTTAGAACTAGGGCTTTGCTTAGAACTTAGAACTAGGGTTCTGCTTCTTTCCCAGTTCTGCAACAAACTGGCTGGGTGATTCTGGCCAAGTTACTTAATGTCTCTGAGCCTCCTTCTCAAAATGAGAATAAAAATTGTAGCCGGGCTCAGTGGCTCAGACTGTAATCCCAGCACTTTGGGAGGCTGAGGTGAGTGGATTGCCTGAGCCCACGGGTTCGAGACCCGCCTGGGCAACTTGGTGAGACCTCATCTCTACAATAAAATAAAAAATTAGCTGGTCGTGGTAGCGCGCGCCTGTAGTTCCAGCTACTTGGAAGGCTGAAGCGGAGGGATCGCCGGCGCCCAGCAGGTCGAGGCTGCGGTGGCTGGGAGCGGCCACTGCACTCCAGTCTGGGTGACAGAGTGAGACTCCAACTCAAAAAATCAAAAACAAACAAACAAAACAAACAAACAAAAAAACTGTAATTGCCTACTTCATAGGATTGTTGGGAGGATTAAATGAGACTACATATAAAGTACTTAATACAATGCTTGGTTCATGAAAGTTTATTATTATTATTTAATATATTAATTTATAATCATCATCACCTTTTCTCCAAAGGGAAACTGTGCTGTGAGCTTTAAACAGAGTCTAGAGAACACAGGGATAGGGAGAAAGAAGTATACATACTCTGTGACCCAGTGCTAGCCACATTCCCATAAGAAAGAAATATAAAGGCCACCCACTCCTACAGAAGCCCAGGTGACAAACCCAACCTCATTAGGTAACCCTACTATTTGCAATAAGACACTTACCAGGTTCTGATGACAGAGGCAAAAAGTGAAGCAGGAGGTCATCAGCAGCCCAAGCAGCATGCCCAGAGGAGCCATCTTAAATGGAGACAGGCTCTGGGGAGCCACAGTTAGAGACCTGAGGGCACAAACACAGAAAACAGAAGGTCAACGAAAAGCTGGTGCCTGGTTTCCCCACACTGGGATTCCTATGATGTCACTTGTTCACAGATGTCAGGAATTTTCTGCATAGAGGTGTCATGAGCCTTCTACTATTTCTTGATAAATCTGAAGCCTCCATCTCCCATGACGAGTCCAGCCACCCAAGGGAAGCTATTCCTTTATCTGGAACTGTACAGTCAACCAGGACTCCGGCATGAGCTGTAATAACCCTGGTTCCTTCCCTCCTCATAACAACTTATCAGGTTGTGGAGGGTGGTATTGGCTATGGTGGGAGAGAGGTAAAATAACTAACTGATCCCATGTGAACAAACATGGGCTCAAATCCACATAAATCTTTGTAAACATCCACTTCTAAACCATATCCATTATTATACCTTAAGACAGATGGCATCAATATTCTCTAAGTCAGCAAAGTTAAATATTCTCAAGCCACAAAGTCTTTCACATCACCTTTCAAACAGCCAAACAAACCAAAGTTCAGGCTCTAGTAGTTGTTAAAATTAAAAGGACATAAGGATAGAAGAATATCCTATGTTCATAAATTACAGACTTAATACTGTTAAGATCACAATACTATCCAAAACAACATACAGATTCAAAGCAATCTCTATCAAAATCCCAAAGGTTTTTGTTGTTGTTGTTTTGTCAGAAATGAAGAAACTCATTCTAAAATTTCATACGAAATTTCAAGGGACTCAGAATAGAGAAAAAAATCTTGAAAAGAAGAAAATTACAGGACTTATACTTCCTGATTTCAGAACTTAGTACAAAGCTACTTGAATCAAAGTGTGATAACGGCATTAGGACAGACATATGAACCAATGGAATAAAATTGAGAGCCCAGAAATAATCACATAGATGGTCAATTAATTTTTGACAAGAGTGCCAAGACCATTCAATGGGGAAAGGACAATTTCTTCAACAACAATACTGCGACAACTGGATATCCACATGCAAAAGAATGAAGCTGAACCCTTTCCTTACACCATGTACAAAAATTAACTCAGCCAGGCTCGGTGGCTCAGACTGTAATCCTGCGCCTTGGGAGGCTGAGGTGTGTGAACTGCCTGAGCCCGCGGGTTCGAGACCCACCTGGGCAACTTGGTGAGACCTCATCTCTACAATAAATCAAAAAATTAGCCGGGTGTGGTAGTGCACGCCTGTAGTTCCAGCTACATGGAAGGCTGAGGCGGCAGGATCGCCGGAGCCCAGCAGGTCGAGGCTGCGGTAGCTGGGAGCGGCCACTGCACTACAGTCTGGGTACAGAGTGAGACTCCAACTCAAAATAAATAAATAAATAAATAACTCAAAATGGATCAAAGACCTAAATTTATAGAATTCTTAGAAGAAAAAATAGGTGTAATCTTAATGACCTTGAATTTGACAGCAGTTTCTTAAGTATGACACCAAAAGCATGGGCAACGTAAAAAAAATAGATAAAACTGGACTTCATCAAAATAAAAAGGCTGATCAATCACGGTTGCTCACATCTGTAATCCTAGCATATGGAGGCCAAGGTGGAAGGATTGCTTGAGCCCAGGAGTTGAAGACCATCCTAGGCAACACAGAAAAACCTCATCTCTACAAAAAAAAATTTTTTAATTAGCCAGGCAAAGTGATGTGTACCTGTAGTCCCAGCTACTCAGAAGGCTAAAGCAGGAGGATTGCTTGAGCCCAGGAGTTCGAAGCTGTGGCAAGCCATGAGCATGTCACTGCATTCTAGCCTGAGAGACACAGTGAGACCCCAACTCAAAAATTAAAAAAATCGGAAAGATTTTAGACCTCAAATGACATTATCAAGAAAGTGAAAAGACAGAATAGGAGAGACATTCTGTCTGAGAAAAGACAGAATATTCGCAAATCACCTATCTGATAAGGGTTCAATGGCCAAAATATATCAGAATTCCTAAATCTCAAGAATAAAAAGACAATTTATTTATTTATTCATTTATTATTTATTATCTTTTTTTTTTTAGATAAAACAGGAGTTTATTAAGAAGACAGAAAAGATGCTGTAGGGGGAGGGAACCCAAAAGAGGGTTGCCGGCATTCCAATTTAAATGATTGTTGGTTTTGTTTCTCGTTTCCCAAATGGTTAATGATGTTGGGAATCTTTTCATGTCCTTATTGGCCATTTGCTGATCTTCTTTGGAGAATGTCTATTCAAGTCCTTTGCCCATTTTTACTTATTTACTTATTTATTTTTATTTTTATATATATTTAAAGATGGAGTCTTGGTGGCTCAGCCTGTAATCCCAGCACTTTGGGAGGCCGAGGCAAGTGGATTGCCTGAGCCTGCGGGTTCGCGATCAGCCTGGGCAACTTGGCGAGACCTCGTCTCTACAATAAATCAAAAATTAGCCAGGCATGGTAGCACGTGCCTGTAGTTCTGGCTACTTGGAAGGCTGAGGCAGAAAGGATCGTCAGAGCCCAGCAGGTCGACGCTGGGGTGGCCATGAGTGTGCCACTGCACTCCAGCCTGGATGACAGAGTGAGACTCTAATCCCAAAAAAAATTTAAAATAATTTTTTTAAAAAAGTGGACAAAGGCACAAGTTCAAGACCAGCCTGAAAAACACAGCAAGACTCTGTCTCTAAAATATTTTTTTTAATTTAAAAAAATTAGCCAGGCATGTGGTCTTGTGTCTCTGCAGTTCCAGCTACTCAGAAGGCTGAGGTAGGAGGGATCACTTGAGCCCAGGGGTCCAAGGCTGCAATGGGTTATTATTGGACCACTGCACTCCAGTCTGGGTGACAGAGCAAGACTCCATCTTTAAATATATATAAAAATAAAAATAAATAAGTAAATAAGTAAAAATGGGCTAAGGACTTGAATAGACATTCTCCAAAGAAGATCAGCAAATGGCCAATAAGGACATGAAAAGATTTCCAACATCATTAACCATTAGGGAAACGAGAAACAAAACCAACAATCATACACCACTTCGCACCCACTATGATAGCTATAATGATTTTGTTTTTAAGTAAAATAACAAGTGTTGGCGAAGATGTGGATTAACTGAAACCCTTGTACATTGCTGGTGAGAATGTAAAACAGTGCAGCCGCTCTGAAATAGCTTGGTGGCTCCTCAAAAAGCTGAATATAGAACTACCATATGTCCCAGCAATTCCACTCCTAGGCATATACCACAAAGAATTGAAAACAGGGGCTCAAACAGATACTTGTATATTAGTGCTCACTGCAGCATTATTCACAATATTCAAAAGGTAGAAACAACCCAAGTGCCTATCAACAGATGGATTTTTTAAGCGTGGTGTATACAGACAATGGAATATTATTCAGTCATAAAAGGAATGAAATTCTGATACATGCTACAACATAAATTATCCTCGAAATCATTATGCCAAGTGAAATAAACCAGACACAAAAGGACAGGTATCATATGATTCCACTTATATGAAATATCTAGAATAGGCAAATCCTAGAGATAGAAAGTAAAAAAAGAGGTTTCCAAGAGTAGAGGGAGAAGTGGAATGAGGAGGTATTGCTAAATAGGTAAAGATTTTCTGTTTGGAGTAGTGAAAATATTTTGCTCAGTAAACTGGAGTGGAAATCAAGAAAACTGAATCCAAATTAGCAAGTGATCTAGAGGAAGAAAAACAGAAAGAAAAACAAAATAAAACAAGAACAAAAAAACACAGAACAAAAACCTTAGAAAAAATTCAGAGTCCTAGACAAACCCTTATAAAAGGTTTTCATGTTTATTCCTCAGCCCCAATGCACCGCAGTAGGCAGTTTACTCAATAGAGGTTTAAGTGAATTAATTACAAAGAAACATCTCTGAAGAGTGTGGTGTTTATTACCTTTCTCTCTCCTACTCCTGCCACACTCCTCCCTGCCTCACCTCAAGAAATTTGTCCTGGGGCACAACTTTCATGAGCCCCAAAGCCTGCCTGAACCCACTCTCTGAAGCTATTACCCCTCTGTCCAGCCCACGCCTTCCCAGGGACTGACAAACTTTCCCTAAGGACATCTGCAGCCATAAAGGAAAACAGCCCTGCTGGACCAGCACTGTGCTAAAAAAGCACAGCCAAATGGAAAAGCAAAGGCTCAGGCGCTAAAAATAGCTGCTACACTCACCCAGCAGCAAAAGCCTTTGCTTTCTGCCAGTTTCCCCCTCCCCTTTTTTGTCGACAAAATGGAACGGCTGAGTACCACGAGAGCTTCCCCCAGCAAACTAACTCCCTGGGGCACCAATCACACGAAAAGACAGGGAGTGAGGTCACAGCACTGCACAAGGTTCTGGACAGGTGCCTGGCCATGCCTGGGTGTGAGCAAGAGAAGGGCCACGTTGGGTGAGAATGAACAAGGAGCAGGGGTTGCCACCAAGAGGAAGAAGGCTGGGGAGGCCCAGGGAGAAGGGTCTCAGTGGCACACAGCCCTGGGACTTCCTGTAATGCCCTGTTCCTTTCTTAACCCTGCAACCTTGGCTGGGGGACAAAAAGAATAAAGCATGGAAGTGAGGGGCTCACGTGCTATCACAACAACACACAGGAAGAGAAAACAAGGCTTGCCCAAAGCCTCAGATCTCCCTTCCCTCACACAAGTGTGCTCATGTGCATGTGCATGGGCACACGCTGGGTTATTGCTCCCTTCTCACAACCAGGGATAAACACTGAAACTGGTGCTGGGGAAAAGATAGGAGGGAGAGGTAATGAGAAAGAAGTAGTCAAGGGTAAAGAAGGCAAAGGAGCAGGAGGAGGCGGCCCCAGAGGGACTGAGGAAGAAGGGGTCAGGGCAGCTGATAAACAAATAGCAGCTTTTCAGCCTCCTGGAGAGAAGGGGAGTGCAGGGCAAGAGAAATGGCAGCTCCCACAGGGCTCCAGCCACCGTTTCTCCTGCACACACACTTGCACCGTCAGAAGCATTTCTTGCCAACATTAAGGATGAGAGATTGACTCACAAGTGGATTCTTCATTTTCTCTCAGTAATTCC